CGAGGCCCCGCCGGGAGCTGCCGCGGCCCCGGGAGCCGCTGGCCCGGCCCGTCGCTGACCGCTTACCCTCTGCGCTCTCCCTGCAGGACCTGTCTGTTCCTCCTCCGGCTATAAGAAGGCGGATGATGAGATGTCCGGAGCCACGTCCTCGGCGGATCTGGACGAGGCACCAGCCCGCACGATTTACTTGAACCAACCCCAGCAGAGCAAGTTCCGCGACAACTGGGTCAGGTATGGAGCAATCCCCGGTTCTCCCCTCCCAGGCGGCAGCCTGCGCACCCCTCAGCTGTGGGCAGGGAGGGCTCTGGTCCCCTCTCCCTGCCTCCTGTCCCTGCCCAGACCTGGTTTCAGCACAACTGTGTCTCTGCCGAGGCAGCCGGTGTTGCGGGCTGCAGTGGACACCGGGATCTGGCCAGACAGTCCCCGGGGGAGGAGAGGCAGGGAGGAAGGATCCAGCAGCAGCAAGGAGTGAGGTTTTTGTATCAAGAGCTGGAAGCTTGTAGAGCTGCATGGATAAGATTCATGAAAAAGTCTTCACTCAGTAGGTCTGCTGAGTTTTGGAAAATGAGACCTAATCTAGTACTTCTAGACACAAGGGTAACCCATGAAAATTCAGTGTGAGATTGGGGTAGAATCCACTGTTAACTCCATGAAGTGTCCTCTTAAAAAGTAGCATCTGGTTATAACTAGACTAAGTATTGAAAGAAGTGTAGAATACAAAGGAAGAAATGAAAAAGTAAGTCTTATCAGGACAAGAATAAATATGGGCTTCACACACATCCTCATGTGTATAAGGCTATGGTGCACTTCTGTTCTTTAATCGTAGGCCAGAGGGAGTTTTCTTTGGCATTTGAAGCCTTTCATTTTGGGGGGTGTGTGTGTTTAAGATTGCTATTGGTATGATTAAGGTGGTGATACTGCAGTTTGGAAACACAAATAATGTGCACTGAAACATGGAGTGTGAGGAGGTATTAACCTAAGCAAGTTGTGGTGGTGCTTGCCACACTTGCCTGGGGTTAGTTAGGTGAACAGATGGCTCCTGTCATGACTGAGGGAGGAGTGTTATTTAGCAGGCTTCTGTTAATGCAGATGTTAGGTTATTGTTCAAAGAACGGTTTACACAATGAGTGCCTTTGTGAAGAGAGGGGAATTTTATATCCTGCTGAAATGATGTTTTCCACAAGCTGGTTTATTGTGTGTGTTACTAAAGGGAATACTGAGAATATCTGCTGGAAGGATGCTGATGTTCCAGGTAGTGCAGCAAATCATACAGGATTTTCTCCTCAACTTCCAATTTGCTATATCCTTGTCTGATAAAGTATGTGGTTTAGGAGAAGAGAAAATGACAGATTTTCTTACTATCTTGGTCTTTCTACAGAGGCAGTAACATTGTGAGTTTTCTCACTTTTTTTTTCTCCTTGATTGATTGTAAGCTGAGTTGAACTGTTTTCTGTGGATGGACTACTTGTCTTCCTGTAAAGCAGGAAGAGCAGAAGCAGGGATAGAGGGTTATCAGAATGTGTAGTTGAGGTATTCCTGAAGGGATTCCATTCTGATTGGGATTAATCATGTGAAAAAGTAGTGTATGACTCTGCTACCAAGATCTTGGTCCTGATAATCCTATTACCAACACTTGAGAGATGTTGTGTCCAACTTGCTGTCTGGAAGCCATCCTCTGGTAGCTCTAAAGGTTTTTCAGTAGCTTTTTGAAGCTTTGCATCCTGACAAGGGTAGCTTGAGTCATAAGGGGAATATTGGTATGTGAGGGATAGAACAAAATGCAGGTAGTGTTAGTGGGACAGTAGAGATGTTTGCATTACCCGATTAAGGATCTTAGCTCCTTAGTGTCACTTGGAAATTAAGCTGACATTATAAAAACTTGCTGCTGCTTAATAAGAAAGCTTTGATCTCTCTGACTTGAAAGGGTTGACAGGCTTTGGCTGTGTTCTCTTCATCCATTGGATTAGCTTTCTTCTCTTGCCCTGTGAGAATGAAGGCAAAGGCAACTTAAGCTTGTAACACCTGAGTACGGGTGCCTTGTATGGAGTATGAGTGGTGGTTTCTTTACTGACTTAGGTGTGTTGGAATTTCTCTGGAGGAACTGCAGTTCTGTATTGCACTTGGACTTTCTTACTATGTTCAGCTTCTGGATTTCTCCATGCCATTGGATTTGAAGATGTATTGTCTCCATAGGAAGCATCAGTGTACCACAGCCCAAGGCACTGTGTAAGCAGATAAACACTTGTTCCTAAGGGCTTATGGAGAACTAAACTGAAGAGATGTTTGTAAATCATGTGACTTCTGACTCTCATCTTTTTGGTAGTCATCAAGGGTTCTCTGAACAGTGACGATTTGTGGATGTTAATAGGAATTTTTCCAAATTAATGGGTAATGTGGAATAGCTTGCTCAAAACTAAGCAACGTGCAGTAAGAAATGGAGGTACAGAGAGGGGAGGAAGGTAGGTCAGTAGTATGTCTTTTTCTTCAAAATAAGCATATTGAGCTTTTGAACCTCTTTGGGAGAGAGGCACTGCTAAAAGTGAGTTACTATGATTGTGGGAGCAAAAGGGAAAAAGGGATAAGTACAAATGCTTTTCAACTTCACGCAAGTTAAGCAAAACTAATAATTCCTTTATACCACTTTTAAATAGCATATAGTGCTATTGCAATAGCTAAGTGGACGGCAAGATGGCACTAACACTTCCAAAAGTCTTAAATCGTGAATATGTAGAAGAAATAACTGTTTCTGCGTTCCCCAGGCTTTCTGGTGTAAATAAGTGAAACTAGAGGAACTTGGAGAGCAGTGGCTACTTTTTTTTTTTTTTTTTTAAAAATGCTCTTCAGATATTGTAACAAACTATTTCAAAACCTAGTGCTGTAAAACTTTGTAGGCTAGATTTATCTTGGTCCTTTATATGTGTGTGTAACTATAGCCGTTGTCATTCTGTATTACACTGCAGCAGCAGTGATTCTTTCATAGGAACATACCTTTTCTACTTGCACTAGAATTTGTTTTTTTTCTACAGTGTTCAGTTAGGAAAACTTTGTGTACATGTAACTCTTGGACCTTTTTAATAACAGGTAAATGATGTTCCATTTTCAGTTTTAGCATTTTAGAGGCTTTGAAATATGTAGAAAAATGGCACAAATTGAATTACTTTGCGCAACACAGCTGCAGTTGTGGTACTGAGTGTTTGCTTTTATACAAGCTAACTAGTACTGGTTTTGACTTGTTCAATATACATAACTTAATGTGTCTGTTTAATAGAAGCATTTCTGTACATCTAGTTCAGTAAGAAATGAAACATTTATGTTCTGAGAACTTCCAGTCGCTCTGTACACAGTTCTATGCTACTTAAAGGCAGTAATTATAATCTATTCTCAGGTATTCTACATTTAGGGATTGAAGTCTGCTAACAGCTGTCATAAACCCATGACATTACTGGTTACAGACAGTGCGAGGTAGTAGTCAGGCTTCTACAGAGACCCAGCCAGCATTGTTTTCTGTTTCCTTCCAGTGTGCTATGGGAAAAGGTTTTCTTTGCACTTCTTCAAAATACTGGCTTGTATTTCTAATTCAGGTGTGTGAAACACAATGATAGTGGATCATTAATGTTTCTAACCCCTAACTCTTATTACTGTTAGTGTGAGCGATATGTAGTTTGTACACTTTTATAGTGGATCAGCAGTGTGAAAGTAACTGTTTAGCAGAAGTGCTAGCTTGTCTGGTGGTTTGAAAGGGTGGGGTTTTTTGCTACCTGAGTTTGCCTAATTGTTGAAACCACAGCTGTTTATTACTAGGTGTGACTTATGTGATTATCTGAATGGTGGTGGAGGTGACTCAGTCTTTATTTCATAGTGTGAAAACAAACTTACCTATTGCTCTGTAAAAACACAGGGATACAAATGGGGTGTGATGATAGGGGTTTGAATACTGGTGTCAATACTTCCGAGCTCACCAAACTAATGGCATGAATACCCTTCCAACTATATACTCAGTGAAGACTGGTTTATTTTGCTTAAAGTAAGAATGTTCTACAGATCTGGCTTTCATGTAAATACAATTCATTGATATTTCTTAATAATACAGGAATCTATCAGTGACTTATACTGAATGTATAACAGTACTGTACTGAAACTTTCATCCAGTTCAACCACCAGTTAAGTCATTTGAGTCCCTTATTTGTTGCATGTGTTAATGATGCAAAAGTAGTTGGAATTTCTGACTTCTTGATCTGGGAGGCACAAAGGTGCTGAAATAACTTTAAGGACACTTATAACTGTGTCCAAATTTTCTAAGTACATTGCAGTTGCTGTTGTAACTGTTGCTCTATAAAATAATCTTATATTCAAGGCCTGGTAGTGCATCCTGGTGTAAGTCTGATGTGTGAATCAGGACTCCAAGTTCAGCCTTGGTATGTGGCTTGAGTGGGAGGTGAGGGCAGAGCAGAAGTCAGGAAGGACAGAATTTTACCTGTGTGCCTTTAATGTTCTTCTTGAAAGCTTCTCATCAGAACAGAATTTGGTGGCTTGATCTCTTGGGGAGGTCTTGAAAGATGCATTCTGATATCCAAAAAATCCTCAGTCCAGAGACTTGTCTTACCTATAGGTCAAGACTGTCCCACTGGTGACTGCAGGATGCTTGCTGGTGACAAAATTGTAGGCATAGTCTGAATTTTTCTTTAAGTTAGGCTGTATGTTGCATTAAATGAAGTGTATTGCTTTCTTGACTTGCAAATAGGTACTGTAGAAGCCACTTGTAATTTAGAGGTGTCAATGCTTTTTGAATGTGTGTGGAGGTTCTCAGTGGTGCATAATGAGTCCCTGCTGCTGAAACAGGAGTTGCTGGTATCACTAGCCAATTAGTATTGACCCTTGTAACATGAATATCGCAAGTAGTGTTCACTATGATCTGTAGTTGAAAATGTCAGTGGTAGTCTGCTACGTGCAAGTGAATGTATCTGCACTTAACACTGTAGATCAGCATTCCTCTTGCAATAAAATGCACCTTTGCTCTTTAGGTAAAACTGTCCCTGCTGGTGTTCAATTTATTCTTGGTAGGGTTCAGATGCTGTGGCCATTTGTACTAGTGTTTGTGTTACCTTTGGAATCTTTTCCGTTGTCATGTGAACAGATTGCTTGCCTGACTAAAGAATTCTGAAATGCTTTTCTGCAAAGAAGGGATGTATTGCTATATTGTGACTGGTACAAGTCTAATCATGTCAAACTAA